CTTCATTTCCACTTTATTATCTCTTTAACAATGAAACTGGTCCATGTGAGATAATGTCCAGAGGCTGCCATACTTTGGACACATCATGAGAAGAGAGGACTTATTGGAAAAGATAATAATGCTGGGAAAGGTGGAGGGAGCGAGGAAGAGAGGAAGAGAGGAAGGCCACATGCTAGATTGAATGGACTCTATTAAGGAGGTCATGGGTATGGGTTTGCAGGATTTAAGCAGAACAGTGGAATATAGGGGGTCTTGGAGATTTCTCATCCATAGGGTCACCATGAGTCATGATCGACTCTAGGGCAGTTAGCAACAACAACAATTTGAAATTAAAGTATTCCAAAATAGTACATTGGAGTACATTTGGAGCATGGTTCTGGGGCATCATTTTTGAAGATAACCACATTGTCCTCTCTTGGCATCTCGTGTGCAAAATATCAATGTGATGTTAGATAGTGTACAGAAAAACCCACTCTCCTTCACAAATATAGCCAGCATCTCAAGGGGCAACCCTCAACCTTGCTGTGATGTCTGCTTATCACCAGCCCTGTCCTTTGCATTATTCTAATAACATCTAAATAGACGATAAGGGTTTCAGGGGTATATAGGGCAAATGTATCAGAAGACTGTTCTATTTTTCATTGTAGTTCTTGGAGGGGAAAGTTTTTACAAACACCCAAATGATGTTTCTTTTGTTTCTGAGTTCCACTGCCCCCCAGGACTTTCTAGCACCAGCTGCAAGTATTTACTCTCACTATTTTTTAAAAAAATTCTCACAGATGTCAAAACAAAATCTTGAGAAGCATGCACACATCAATAGTTTCAATTCCTGCCATAGTATTTTTTGGCTGCTTCCCCAATGACATGGTCTGTGGGTGTTTGTATACCTCATTAAACTTCTGCTTCCTTCATCTGCTGCTACTGTTTTAAAATGGATATGGTGGTAAGGTTAAAGGTGAGAATCAACACGATGTAATGATTTGAGCATTGGACTACAACTGGAGAATAGGGTTCTAATCCCAGCTCAGCCATGGAAACATACTGGGTGACCTTGTGCAAGCCACACTCTCTCTGCTGCCAAGAGAGGCAAAGGTTAACCCATCTGAACAAGTCTTGATAAGTAAGCCACATAATAGATTCACATTAGTATTGCCATAAGATGGCAACAATTTGAAGGTTCATAACAACAACAAAGTTAAAGAGATTATTCTGGCATCTTCTTCCATCTCCTTCTCTTATCACCTTTTAATTTTTTTTCTTACGGTTTTAATGCCATAGTATATCAACATGCTATTAAAATAAATTTAATAAATTTCTCTATTTATTTTCCTGCTATCATAGTGTTAATCTGATTTCTGTCTGTTTCTCTACTGGTTATGATCACTTCTGTGTTCTTACATAGTTTGGCCCATGCCAGGTTTGCATTTATGGCCAAATATGGCCAAAGCCAAGTATTACTATACTGTGATACCTCAAACCTTTTTGGACTAATCTAGAAGAAACTCAAAATGCTGGCTGAGATCCTGCACCATCAGACATAGCTACAACCATGGATCTCCATTGCTGTAGCTACTTCTGCCTATGTTTTTTATTTCCAATTTATGGTGACCCTAAGGCACAGAATTTTATTGGGATGACTTGCATAAGGTTACCCAGTGGATTTCCATGGGCAAGCAGAGAACTGAACCCTGATCTCCAGAGTCAGAGTCTGACTCTCAAACCACTACACCATGCTGGCTCTCACCATTTCTGCCTATTCCATGCCTCAAAACCAACCTCTTAATCCAGACAATAACCCAACCAAATGGTTTCTGAAGCAATGGGAAATAATGATTACAGTGCTTGTCTTCACACAGTGAGATGAGCAGTTGGAAAGATCCCTTGAGGTTCTGCCACAACTGCTTGTCACAACACACCCTAAGACTGGAAAAACACTGCAGTCATCATTGCCTAGAGCCCCAGTATGTGAGGCCTTGAAAATCCTTTGACTGGGCCACTGCCTGGCTTGAGGTAATTTTGGTGTTCATATTCAGTTAATAATGACCATAAACATGAATCACAAGATATTAAGTCTTGTTTACTATATTGTACATATTGAACACAGGATGTGGTGGCTTAGTGGTTAAGACACATATTCTGGTGATCAGAAGGTCAGATGGTGGGCAGTTTGAGGCCCAAGTGCTACATGATGGGGTGAGCTCCTGTCACTAGTCTCAGTTTCTGCCAGCCTAGCAGTTTGAATGCATGCAAATGCAAGTAGATAAACAGGTACCACTTCAGTGGGAAGGTAGCAGCATTCCATGCAGTCATGCTGGCCACATACTATGGAGTAGTCCTTCACAACGCTGGCTCTTTGGCTTAGTAATGGAGATAAGCACCACCCCCTACAGTCAGTTATGACTAAACATTCATGTTAAGGGAAAACCTTTACCTTCTTTTTTACATACTGAACAGGATGCCAGCCACTATCAGGAAGGGTCCTTTCACATTACACAACTATAGCACTATGATTCCATTTTAAATACATGGTTGTATCCTGGGATTCTGGTGAAGTGCTAGAGTTCTCTGGCAGAAAATCTCAAATACTTCATGAAACTGCAAGACCATTTTCTTTGAAATGAACTTTGCCTCTGGAACCCAAGACTTTACTCAAGCTGATAATGTGTACCAGCTAAGGTGGGTTGATTTAACAGATTTTATTTAGAATTCTTTGTGTTTGATTCCTACTTTCTTCACAGCCTTGTAATACATTATTCTTGGACATTGGGTGTACTGTTTTAAAAGGGAATTTCTCACTAAACCTTCCCCATGTGATCAAAAATATCCATTGAATTCCACTATGTGTCTCCCCAACCCCGTCAACTTGGAAAGCAGGGTTAGGATTCATAGAGGAGAAAATTTGCTCATCAAACCATAGGACCACCTCAGAAAATCATGACTATTTAAAAAAAAACTTCAGAAGATCCCTACTGCTAATTGTTACAAATGAAGAATGAAGTCTGAGAAGAGAGTGGGCTCAGGTAAAATTTGTGTAGGGCTTGGTGTAAAACCACACATCAATACCATCCAGTCTGTTGGATTGCCTTCAGTAAGCAAGGCATTCTGAGGTCCCAAATTGTTTCCCCACTAACTGACTTCCTTTCTCTTTGTAAGATATTGTGTTGATGACAAGACTCATCAGCACAGTACTCATGGAGAATACAAGATGAGCTTCCTGTGATAATCTGATTTCTAGTACCATGGAGATTATGGGCCTCGGCAGACGGCTTATTAAGTCATCCTCAAGGCAGGGAAGAGGAGGGGCAGCCGCACGCTCAGCGCCCCTTCCTCCTCCCAAGGTTGCCCTCGGAGCCGCCGGCCCTCCGCATGGCCGACGCTCCGGGGGCAACCTCCCGCCGCAGTGTCCTGACACGCTGCGGCAAATAAGTCAGCGAAAGTGCGCCTCACGCTTTTGAGGCACACTTTCGCTGACTTGTGAAAGGAACGCTATTTTAGCGCTCCTTTCAGGGACGGGGAAGGAGCGCCATAGGATTGAGGCGTGGGGATGCCTCGATCCTGCAGCGCACCTTCCCAGGGTGGCCCCGTGCCACCAGTCTGCTTCCCCCCTATGTTCTATGATGTTAGTATCCCACTATGAACTGACTCTGGAAAGTGCAATAGGGCAGTGGAGGATTCAAAGCTAAGCTGGTGAAAAGTCATTCATGCAGTGGTGTTTTAAAAAAAGCCCTGTTCATTCTTTTCTCCTGTCTTCCTTCTTTTGTCCTCTCTCTCTCTTTTTTCTGAAATGTTTTGCTATAAACACAGAAAGTTAATTTCTGTTACACAGTTGAGTTCCAGATGGCCACCTGAGTTGAATTTTCTTTTCACTTCCATTTTCAACCTTGAACTATTTTTGTTACACCCAAGAACAACACATAGGATTAAACAGGTACAGAGCATTCAGCGTGTCCACATGACAAAGTGCTAAAAGGCAGCTGTTCAGAGACAACAAACTGATTTTGGGTGTTCCTGCATTTTCAGCTGGCAAGTTCTGCTTAGTCTCTCACCTAGCTTTTTTACAGGCTAGACACAGACAGGAATAACAGTGTTAGCCCAATTTTACATACAGCCTCTGGTACAGTTTTGACACAAAAGTGTTGCTTTTAAAAGCAGGGACTGGGAAACTTTGATGGATCCAGAGACATTTCTGTAACTTTAACTGGAACTGTAATGAAATGCCACCAGTCAAGCAAAAACTGAAACCAGATGTGGGAGGAAGTGCAATATGGTTTTGAAAAGCAAGTATTATTTAATGTTAAACACTGAAAAGTGTAGGAGGAAGTTCTGTGACTTGTTTAAAAGGTGAATTACTGTTTCTGCATGCAAAGGGATCTTGTAGCACCTTTGAGACAGAAGCTGGTAACATGAGCTTTAGATATGAGTCTACTTATCAGTGCAAACAGGCATCTGAAGAAGTAGGCTCAAGTCTAGGAAACCTCATGCTGCCAGCTTTTCTTTCAGTTAGTCTCAAAGATATTACAAGTTCTTTTTGCATACTGATTTGCCCGACTAAGGGCCTCTACAGACGGCCCTTTGCACCATCTTGGAGGCAGGGAAGGGGAGGGGCAGCCATACACTGGGTGCCCCAACCCCACACCGAGGACGTCACGATGGTGCACGCCGTCAAGACGTCCTTCTACTGCAGTGTCCTGATGCACTGTGCCAGAAGGGGCACAGAAGGCTCTTCGGGCAGCCTATTTGCCGCCTCTGAAAGGACTGGCATTTTGGTGCTCCTTTCCAAGGCAGCAAAAGGGAGGATTGGGGCTGAGCCATGGAGCAGCCTCAGTCCCAATCCTCCACTTCCCAGGGTGGCCCAGGGTCACCTGTCTGCATCCCCCCTCTCATGGCTATGTCTTTGAATGCTACTGTTTCTGTAGACATCCAGGATAAGCATTTTTTTTTAATTTGTGGGGGCATCAGAGGTTTGGTGGCCTACAAACCTAGGGCCTCAGCACACGGAGGCCCTGGAGCCACCACCGGATGGAGTGCCGCGGGGATGCAGCCTCCGCATCCCGGCGCTCCTGCGGCGGCTCTGGAAGGAGTGCTAAATCAGTGCTCCTTCCTCAAGACAGGGAAAGTGCACCCTAAAAGCGGCGGGTGCACTTTCCCTGACTCAAACGCCGCGGCGCGTCCGGTCGCCGTGGCATGAGGTCATCCCCGGAGCGCCGGCCGTTCGCATGGCTGGCGACTCCGAGGGCGACCTCAGGAGGAGGAAGGGGCACCACTCGTGCGGCTGCCCCTCCTCTTCAGGGCCCGGAAGATGGCTCAATTAGCCGTCTGCCGAGGCCCTTAATCTTCAGGGAGGCTACATGCATCCCCAAGGTCACATTTTTCCTACCCATGATTTAAAGAACCATCATTTGGGAATTTGAGTACCCTGCAAATTTCTCAGCCTTGTAGGGAAATGCTGTGACTTTTAGGCATTTCCACATTCCTAGTTTCTTAGCCTGAATACAATACAATGGGAAGATTGTATGAGATTGAGAGACATTCCTGCTGATTTTGTCCTTCATGCCAGGCATTAAAGTATTGTAGGAAACCAGCTTTCAGCAACTCCTTGTTTTTGTTCATTAACTCAAGGGATACCAAAAGTTCAGGTGGTCTCTGAAATATCTGCCTGCTTCCTTTCTATAAACATATGAGGCTTTGCTGACTATTCAAAAGAAGCTAATTATTTACTCAAACTGTGAAAGATCTACTTAGCTGCAAACATCATGTTCTCTACAGCACAAAGGTTTGCTAGGGAGAGAGACAACAGAGCTCTTCTTCAAGTAATCTTTATATACCATCTCCCTGTGATTCAGTGATTGGTGCCAGCAGGTAGTCTGTGCTTTATTCTTTTGTTCCACAGCATATGAATACCCCTGCAGGTGCCAGCACATTGTATCAGAATAGAGAAAATAATAATAATGGTAGCTTGTGAAGTACAGGAAAACTTTGAATAATGTCACCAGCAAAGCAGAGAAAAATCATGTAATATGGCTCCAAAGTATAAAGAACAGTTATAACTTTTTTGGAAAGGAAAAGTGTCAATCTGTTAGATGTGATTTCTAAAATACATATTTGATACCTGATTTACAGATTGCAAACATGGGATAAATATTCAAGAAGAGAAATCTGGTGAGAAATTGATAATTTATTTAATTCTTTAATTTTCAATCATATCATGAGCCCAAATAAGTATATTTTTTCAGTCTTTATCGAATCTTCATCTAGTTTTGACCTAGTCAATGAGGACTGGTTATATCATAAATTAGCACAAAATAACTAACACTATTGTATTATTTCCAATATTTCAGTTAAATAATATTCATGCACGTGAGAAGTGGTTAATACTGTACCTTAACAGAAACAATTCTATTAATAAGATAGCACTGCTTTTTTTCTATTTTTCTTACTGTTATCACAGTGTTATCACATTTTCTCTCATGATTTAGTTTTAATCTTGATAAAAAGAATGGGTTTAAAGAGGATATTGGTCAGTTTTGGACAACTTTGCAAAGAAGAGCAAGTGTAAATTAATTACTCACCATGCAAAGGTATTGTTTGTGAAAGTTAGTCTAAAGAATCAGAAATGGACCCTCAATGGGTATGGCATCATTAGAAGGCATGACTCATTAGAAAAGAGAATAATGCTAGAAAGTAAAAGGTAGTAGAGAGAGAGGAACATGGTATGCCAGATGGATAGACTCAATCAAG